CTCGTCTCGCCGCCGCGGACACGCCTCCCCCGCCATCGCCGTCGCCTCTGCCCTCCCCACCGCCACCGGCGCCCCCGCCACCTTCTCTGCCTCCATTGCCACCCGTCCCGCCCCACACCCCTCCGTTTCCTCCGCCCCCGTTACTGCCGCCGCCCTCGCCGCCACCACCGCTGCTGCCGCCGTCGCCACCGGCGCCGCCGGCGCCACCCCAAACACCCCAGCCCCTCCTCTGCATCGACATCGCCGGCCGCAGGGCGACCGGCCGAGGCTCCCTAGAAGCGGAAGACGCATTCTTGTACTCCAAGGGCACGTATTCCGGCGGAGTTCTCCGCTGTGCTCACTGTGTATTCGCCTCCCTCGTGTTCACGTGTGGTGCTCCTGAATACTCTGCACAATACCGTCTTCCCGCCCTGGTGGTGGTGTATTTCACCCTGCAGGACACACACACACACACGCACGCACGCACGCACGCACACACCGCGCTCTCCCACGCGCACTGGCCCTTGCACCTTGAATGCCGTGGGGCTCCTGTCTTCCAGACGTGAGTCGCGAGGGCTGCCCTGGCCCTTTCCCCCACCGCCTTGAGTGTGGTGTGGAGAAGTGTACCTGGCCTCACCTAGCCTCTCACCCTGCAGGCCCCGTCGGCTGCAAGCTGAACCAGTGCCAGTGCGAGAGCTTGCCGTACCCGAGGGCAGGTCTCCCCGCTCTTCACTGTTCTTTCTGCTCGTGCCCATTCCTCCTCCTGGGCCACCATGTCACACCGGCTCTATCGCCTGCTCGCCGCCGACTCTCACCACCTATCACTCAGCTCTTCTCACTCCTTCTGCTGCTCCCCCCCCCCCCTCCGCTTCCCTCTCGCCATCAGACTGTGACTCGCTCTTCTACCCCGGCAACTCTTACTGGCGCATCTGTCTGCCGCCGGCTCCTGGAGAGAGCAGCTGCCGCGCCTCTGACAAGATCATGGGCTGCTACCCGCCGCCCACGCCACCTCCGCCCTCACCACCTTCACCACCATCGCCGCCTCCCTCGCCGCCGCCGCCTCCCTCGCCGCCGCCACTATCGCCGCCGCCGAGCACGCCTCCCTCGCCGCCGCCACTATCGCCGCCGCCGAGCACGCCTCCCTCGACGCCGCCTCCCTCGCCGCCGCCGTCCCCGCACCAGCCGCCGCCCTCTCACCCGCCGCCGCTGCCGCCTCCGTCGCCGCCTTCCTCGCCGCCGCCACTATCGCCGCCGCCGAGCACGCCTCCCTCGCCGCCGCCTCCCTCGCCGCCGCCGCCCTCGCCTCCGCCACCGGCGCCTCCGCCGCCCTCGCCGCCGCCGCCCTCGCCTCCACCCTCGCCGCCGCCTCCCTCGCCGCCGCCGCCCTCGCCGCCGCCACCGTCGCCTCCGCCGCCCTCGCCGCCGCCGCCCTTGTCTCCGTGGCATTTCGCGGAGTGGGATTTCGCCGGGTGGGTTTTCGCGCGAAATCCACCCTCGCCGCCGCCTCCCTCGCCGCCGCCGCACTCGCCGCCGCCACCGTCGCCTCCGCCGCCCTCGCCGCCGCCGCCCTCGTCTCCACCCTCGCCGCCGCCGCCCTCGCCGCCGCCGCCCTCCCCACCGCCATCCCCGCCGCCCTCGCCGCCGCCGCCCTCCCCACCGGCCTCGCCGCCTCCACCGTCGCCGCCGCCGCCATCGCCGCCGCTGCCTTTGATGCCGGACAACCTTCCGGCAGGGATGCCGGTGCGCCCACGCCCC